CACGAGTATGACAAATAAAACCCAAGCTCGGCTGACTTTTTGTAACCTCATACCCGAACCAAGCCCACCCATTTTTATAATGTGAATTTTTAAATATTAATAAATTTCAATTTTTTTTATATTTTTAATTCTAGAAATAATTTTTAAATATTAATTTATTTTTGAATACTCACCAAATATATAAATAACTTTCCACAAAGTGCATCCATCCATCCATGTAAGGTTTGGGGAAAATGAGTATATTTATGTAAGATAATCTTGTAATTAAATATATAGTATAAGGGTGATTTAATATAATTAATATTAAAATTGTCGGGTTGGGCTTGAAGACATACCCAGGCCTGGCCCGTACCAGAGATCGGGTCTTAAAATCAGACCCAGGTTTAAACCCAAACCCGCAAACATTGGATAAAGTCTGACCTTTTTGGGATGGGCCAGGCCAGGTATACGGAAATATCAAGTCCTTGCCATCTCTAGAAGTTAGCTGGTTAGAGTTAGTGCCATAAATCATGACATGAATGATGTTAATTTATTTGAGCCCGTCTAGATTTCTTTTGAAACCGGTTTTAAAATGCAATATATTAACTAATTATCTTTTAATTTCAATTTTAGCAAATCTTGCTTCTCAAGTAAATAACAAGCTATTGAAAACACTTGGAGAAACCGTTGGAGAGTACCTGAGTGAAACCATTGGGAAGTACCTGAGTGAAAAGAAAGCTCTTCCTCATAATCTTAATTATTATCGGTTCGATAATATTATTAAATTGATAATAATATTAAAATAACAATAATACGATGCCTATTAAGTTAAGATTTCAACTGTTTATTTCAACTAATATGGTTGATTATATGATAATAGATACAATAAGTAACTAGATTTGTAATTAAGGTGATATTGACATATAAGATTCCACAAAAGCTAGGATTTAAAATTGTGATTCAAATTTTAAAATAAAATAAAAGATGATATATTGTGTTTTCTTAGTTAATCTAAATTTGGTAGCACCAAAGATCAAAGAATGTTTGTGGGGCTCAGCTATAGCCTGGGTCTGCCATATGCTGGTTCATCCCCTGCTTAAAGAAAAAGTCTTTGATGAGGCAACTGTTTTATCCTTAAAACAAACAAAAAATCTATTCTCTATCCTTAAAGAATATGCTACACATAGATATTACCTTTCTAATTTATAATATTTAAAACGATAGTTTATAAACAACATAAACATTTGTAAGAAAATGGCTACGGAGTGTAAATTACGTATATAAATATTTCTTAAAACTAAAAATTCTGTAAATCACGTATATAAATATATGTAAGAAAAAAAAAATTAATATAACTAGTATATTCTTACACATTCTAATTAGTTTTACTAGTTTTATCGAATAAGAGTTTAAGGCCTGTGCATCTATTCATGGTGCCCTTTTTACTTGATAATAATATTTAAAAATCAGATGCATATTTTTACACAGTATTTAATCGCATATGCTCCAATGTCCATGCTAAAATTTTTTAAATATTCCCAAAATGTGTAGGATTTTTATGAGGATAAATTAGTCGTAAAATCTAATGATTTATCAATTATACCCTTAATGAAACAATAAATAATATATTCTTAATATATAACACTAGACTATGCTAGATTCTATAATCTAGCATTTAAAATAATGATTTAACATCTTAATTAAACCATGCTAAATGATGCTAGACTTAGTGATCTAGCACATTTCGGTTATTTTTGTCATCGTTATTTTTCTTGAGGGCAATTAGGTTAAATCATGTGTTAGGCTAAATCTGTCATTTAACCAAATCCTTGACATTTTAAGAATTAAATTTAGTAAAGATGACTGCATATGTAAATATTTGATAAATCAAGCTCTCTTTGACAGAATAATTATAACACACATACATAAACACACACAGCCCGCGCACACACACACAGCCCGCGCACACACACACATATAGATTCCAAGAACAATATATCTCTTTTTTCTTTAGGGAGAATAACATTTTCCCACCCAAGGATTGGCGAAATAACCCTTTCCCACCCATCAAGTTTCAAAACGACACTTTCCCACCCACCGTCATATTCTGTTAGAAATATCTGTTCTTAAGAAGGGCAAGATGGTGAGTTTACGTAAAAGCCTCATAATTCATAAATCCAAATTTTAAAATTGAATTGAAATCCCGGTCGGGTAGGTTTTTCCTTTCTCTTTTCTTTTCTTTTCCTTTTCTTCTCTTTCTTTCATTTTTTCTTTTTTTCTTATCTTTTCTTCGCCATCATCTCCTTCTTCTACGCTGGAGGTTGCGACGTCGATGTAACCTGTAACTGCCAACTGGGCTGGCAGCGTCACAAGCTTCAGCACGAGCCGACCTCTCTCACCGCCGCTGGCGACTTTGCCCACCTCCCTCACCAGCTCTTCATTGCCTCAAACCCATTCTACTGACCTCTCCAACGAGCCGCCGCCTCAAAGACCTCCTTTCTCCTTCGCAATTGCAGCACCCTGCAACTACGAGCAGCCGCATCCAGATTCCAGCCCCCCGCCATCTGTCGCCACCTCCGTCTGCCTCATCGTCCCGCACTGGTCGCTCCCCATCATCTCACATCCCCACCCCTGCCTTTGTTGCCACTGTTTGCAGAAGTTTGTGTTTGATGGTGGGAAGTGGATTGTTTTATTGATTTTGTGGAGTTGGATTTGGTTTTGAAGTATTGTTTTTTTATTTCTACTTTGAGGAAGATTTGGGTGATTTATGCTATATCAAACCCTTTCACATAGTTACCTTGCCAAGTCGCCCACCACCCGTTTGACAAAAAACCCCACCCCATGCCCATTGTGCAAACCATAACTCGCACAAGAAAGCGAGAAACGAAGCAAGTCCATGATTGTTGAGAGACAGGAGACGATAGATTAAAAGACAAAGGAGAAGGAACAAGAGAGCGACATCTACAGCTCTTTGGTAAGTGTTTTTGGGAAAAAACTTTTTCAAACAAAGGCAAAGAAATTATTGGATTGGGCATGGAGAAGATACGAAGTGCTTGCTTTGCTGGTCGTGTGACCTTGTTCGTGGCTATAGATATTTATATGAAGGTGTCCCAAAAATTATGGAAAAGGGAACCTTGTGAGTTGCATGAATTATATAGTGGTTATTAGATGTTGCTCAATACCAAAATGTTAGTATTTGCTTATTAAAAGTTAATGTTTATGATCTCACCCTCACTTTCTCCCCAAATCTTCACACTCGTACACCCACCAATTCAAGCTTCTTCTCTCTTAGTTCGATCATCCATGGCTTCTTTTTCAAGGCACAGGCTCATTTTTCCGGCACCTTCTCTGGTGGAGTTTGAGGGTCCGGCTGTTGCTCCAACAAGTAGTGCTTCAAGCTTGAAGAGTGGCTTGTTGGTTGTATTGATGAAAAAGAAACATTTATTTTAGAAGTGTCTAGCGAGGTTGTAATGTTCAAGTTTTGCGACTATGTTATATTAAGCTTTATGTTGATTATGTTCCTTTTGGTGTACCAGTTAGATCCTGTGGTGGAAGCTGGTACCGTAGATCTTGTGTTTTTTGAGTTTGTGAAAAAAAAATTGTATATAATTTTTTGAAATTCTAGTAAAACATTATTTTTAATTAAAAAAAATTGGAGGGACAAATTAGTAATTTAGATTTCTATGCATAGTTGAGGACGTATCAATAATTTCATAATTTAAGAGTGGATATATCGGTAATTGAATCTTGTGATATGACAAAATAATAATAATAAAATATTAAGCCAAATAATGAAAGATATTTTTTTCTTTGCAGCCAAATAATGGTGGATTTTTCTAATAGAACATAACAGTGGATAAGAAAGTGTCGCTTCGAAATTTAATGGATGAGGAAGGCACGTTTCGCCAACCTTGGGTGGGAAAATGTCGTTCTCCCTTTCTTTTATTACACCAGCTTACACATTTGACTTAATGAATGATTTTGCTGCCATTGTTGGCTGTAATCTTAGTTGAGTGATTATCTTTGTTTAAAATATTATATGAATTAAATATGCATAGATTCCATGAACAATATATTTCTTTTTTTTTTTTTTTTATTGCACCAGCTTACACATTTGACTTCATGAATGATTTTGCTGTCATTGTTGGTTGTAATCCTAATTGAGTGATTTTCTTTGTTTAACATATTATATGAATTAAATATGCAAATTTTGGTTGTTATATTTGTAATAATGGAATCAAATTTACCAAACCTCCTCCTTAGAATATGCAAAGAATTATTTGTCAATTTGATAATATTATCGTATTGATATAAAATAATATAAAAATAAAAATAAAAGATGACATATCATGTTTTCTTATTTAATCTATAATTTGGTGGAAAAAAAAAAAAGAATATTTATGGATTTGGCTATTGTATCACACTATATGGGTGTATTTTATAAATTTTACGTTTTTAATTTATAACTTAAGTGTTGATGTATTGTACAGTTATAAAACCAATATTTGGGTTATTAGCGAGGATAACTGTTATGTGATATTATTATGAATATATGAATTTTAGTTTAATTACATAATTAAAAAATTATTGATAAATTAAATCGCAGTTTGCTAATGAGAATACGAGATCCGATTTTAATGAGAATCGCATTCTTTGACTAATTATTTATAGTAATTAAAAATAAATAATTGGGACATCATAGTATTGTAAATTTATATGTATTGAGGGATAAATTCATGGTTGAGCTGTTAAGAATATTTTAGATTATGGGAACATGACAGATAAGAGTTAAAGGTTGACAATTCATGGTTGACTTTACTTGAAAATAATATTTAAAATTATGAATTGATTTTTTAACTTAAAAAATCAGATGAATATTTTGATACAGGTTACGCACTACCGGATGTTATTGGTAAACGTTGGCTCTCTGCCATCTAGATTTACTGACTCTTCTTCAAATAAACCATTATAAATACCTAGCACAACGATGAACCAATCCATCGAAAAACAAAATTCTTAACATCAAAATGCACGGCCTTGTTGCGGCGAACACGGTGGTGGCTGCATCGGCTTGTTCCGTGTGGGATGTCTACGGCACTCTTCAAGTCCTCACAATTATAAATACATTTCTACCAAATGTGCTTGGAACTGTTAAAAGTCCTTGAAGGTGATGGACATGTTGGCACACTTCTAAACGTTACATTTCCCTCAGGTAATTGAATTAATTCATATTATTTATCAAACATTAAATTTGAGTTACTGAATATTAACTATTGAATATTTCTGTTTCGTTTTTGTTTCAGGAACTCCTGGAATTGGTTATATGAAGGAAATGATTACAAATCTTGATAATAAGAAGCGTGTGAAGGAAACAGAAACCATTGAAGGAGGATTTATAGCATTGGGCTTGAAGCGTTATATAACTCAATACAAAATTATTGAGAAAAATTATACATCAAGTATTATAAGATCAACAATAAAGTATGAGCTTGATGATAAGTTAGCAAATCTTACTTCTCTAATAAACACCAAGCTAGTTGAGATACTTGCAGAAACCGTTGGGAAGTATCTAACTGAGAAGATACCTCCTCCTTATTAGAATCTGCAAAAAGAGTTTGTTGTTGTCTTGTTGATGTGGTAATATTATCGGATTGATAATGATATTAAAATAAAAAATAGAAGATGATATATCATGTGTTCTTAATTAATCTATAATTCGTTAGAACTAAAGAATAAAGAATTTTTGTGAGATTTGGTTATTGTATTTTACTGTACAAGTGTATTTTATAAATTTTACCTTTGCATACCAGATGCGAGTACTTATCATTTATACCACAAATCAATGACTTTATATCAGTTTTAAATTTATTCTCTCATCTATTTTATCGGATATGCTCCAATGGCAACACTCAAATCATTTGTAATTATCCCATGACAACCATAATAACTATTTTACTTTTTATATATTTTTTTCTAATATAATTTATTAATATTCATTTGAATATGTTTACATATATCAATATGAAAACGAAAATGTAAGCCTATGGAATGAACCCCTTATATATGGACTTGATTAAGTAAATAAATAAATAAAAAGAAAGTAAACCTCACTAATGTTCCCAAGACCTAGTGTTTTGTAGCATAGTTTAAGAAATTATGTTTGATAATATACAGTAAAACCTCTCTATAGTTATAATAGTGGGATTAGCTAATTTTATTACTATAAGGAGATTATAACTTAATGGAGGTGTAGTTACAAAAATTATAGTTTTGATTTCTTATTTTTTAATTCATATTTTAGTAGTACAGTATTAGGATTTCAATTCAGTACTTCAATTGCCTACTTTTGAAATGGATAGAAGACTGTGTCTTGAAATTAGTAAATATAGGTGTCATTAATGAAACTATATATGCAGTTGATACATGATCAATTGATGTGAAGCCACAGACAATTGCCAATGGTTTTAAGCATTGCAAAATTAGGACCCCTGATTTCAATGAATTGCAAGTTACAAATAAAGTGGACGAAGAAAATAAAAGAGTCATTACAAAATTGAGTGATCAGATTCGACAATTTCACTACACTAATCGAATGGATATTAACAGTAGCGGATCCAGAAATTTCTGTTAGGGTGGACCAAAATCTAGAAATTATACATATTAGTATTTAAAAAAGAAAATTAAGGGTGGGCCATGGCTGGATCCGCCCCTGGATATTAATGTCTTCCTCGATCATCCAAATGAGCAACAAATCATGTATGCTTTAACTGAAGAAGAAATCATTGCTACAATTATATAAGAAGATAAAGAAAATAATCCTAAGGATGATAGTATGGAAATACAAAAAGTTTCATGCCATAAAGCTCTAAACTTAAGAAACTAAAAATATTTTTGCTTCAACAAGAAGGTGTCCATGCTAGCAAGTTATTACATACTAGCAAGATAAAAGATATGGTAACAACTCTAAAATATAAATCATTATCTCAAACAATTTTAGAAAAATATTTTATTTCATCTTAAACCTTTAATGTAACATAAGATATATTTTTTGGTAATATACAGATAATTATTACTATGTGGAGGCAACTTTCCTTAAGACGGGAATAAGAAAAATTATAACTTATTACAATGTGGAGTTTATTCTTATTTATAACTATCCTAAATTGGGACTAGAATTTTTATGACTATGTAGAGCTTATTCCTCTATAGAGTATCACTATAGAGAGATTTTACTATATATAAGGTGCGACTAACATATGAATTTTCTGCATGATCTAATAAAGTATTGATATATCAAGTTTTTTTTTAACAAAATGATTCTAATATATTCTTTTTTAAACCAAAATTCAGATTACGGTGAACAATATCTATAATGTCTCTTTTTCAAATTCGAAGTATTTGATTAACATATTAGCATTATATCATTCCACAGGTTCCTATCATTGTTTCTTAGATTAGAAGTCTTTTCCTAATGGGATATTAACTCTTAATACGATGTGAATCCTTGTTTCTTAGTATTCTTTTCACCTAGGATTAGGTTGAACTATTATCCTATTTACATTAAATTTATTTCTTTTATGTATACACATTTATTTAGAATTCTTATCCCTTGAGGACTTGGGGTTCCTAAAATCTGAAGATTAGAGTATTATAAATATATGATGTATTGAGTCTTTTGTAAGACTTGGTTAAGAGGTTTTGGGTAGCTCTTAAGTAGAAACAGACCCTCAATATTGTATTTGTCTCTTGTTCTAGTGAAGTAAATATTTTTGTTTGTGCCCCTGGATGGAGGCATATTACCGAACCACGTAAATCTTGTATGTTTTCTTTTTTCTTCTCTATTTCTTCTTTGATATTCCTTCTTTGAGTGTTCTAATTAAACCTATTGGTTGTGTGTTTGACCAAATATTCTGTAACAATTGGTATCAAAGCCTAGGTAGAAATTGTCAAAACAACAAAAGGTGTTTTAGGGTTTATAATTAAAGATGGCGTCCAGTTCCACCAAATTTGAGGTGCCAAGATTCAACGGTTCTAAATTCGAATTATGGAAGTTGAAGATGCGAGCGACCCTTGTGAAGGATGGATGCACAATTGCTCTACAAAGAATGGAGGCGAAGCCAGAGGAGATGTCTGATGAAAAATTCAAGGAGAAAGATGAGTTGGCCATGAAATATATTTATGTTGCATTGGATGAGGTAGTTTTATTCAACGTATCTGAAGAAACTAAGGCAAAAGGCTTATGGGACAAATTGCAAACAATAAGGGAAGTCTACGTTAAATAGGATCTTTCTACAAAAGCAACTATACAACCTAAGAATGGAGTAAAGGGCCTATTTGCAACAATACTTGAAGCCAGAGGAGGTGTTTGATGAAAAATTCAAGGAGAAAGATGAATTAGCCATGGAAGATATTTATGTTGCCCTGGATGAGGTAACTTCATTCAATGTATTTGAAGAAACTATAGCAAAAGGCTTATGGGAGAAATTGAAAGCAATATACAAAAGAAAATCTATATCACTTAGGATATTTTTTTACAAAACAACTATACAACCTGAAGATACGGGATGAGGCCTCTTTCCAACAACACTTGAATGACTTCAACACCTTAATTAGTGAATTAATAGCTATTGAGGTGAAGATTGATGAAAAAGAAAAGGCCACTTTGTCGCTTTGTTCTCTATCTAATTCGTGGGATACCTTAGTCATGAACATCAATAAAGATGTAGATACCACTTATGAATTAGTAGAAACTTTGTTACTCATTGAAGAGATGAGTTTGGAAACCAGAAGGCGATTCGTTAAATGATGCGATGTCGTGCAAGTTAGACCTACAAAAAGAGCAGATGAAAGTAAATATCAATCTAGATCAAAGTCCAAAGGCAAAAGCAAAGCGAAGAGTTAGAATTGTAGAAGAAGAGGCCAAGTTGAGGAAAGATTATAGATTGAGAAATACAAACAAGAAAATCCCAAGTTTGATCTACTAGCATCAAATTCAAATAGTTCCTAGGTAAATATTGTTGAAGTTAAAGATTCATATGAATATAGAGAGTTGTTGTCAATAAATTCGCAAGAAGGTATAGAATATCAATGGGTATTAGTTTTTTGTTGCTTCATTTCATATGACAACGCATAGAGATTGGTTCTAGACTTATAATAAGTCATGTGGGGGTACTACTTACTCTTGGTGAGCTTCTAGATAAGGCTGCTAGCGAGCTTTCTACTCATTGATATATGGCAACCATTTGATAGAATTTGGCCAAGCTTACATGGTCTTCGCTTTGGAGCTATTTCCACAGCTCCCTTTGCATCGTTATACATGCTATTAGCAAAGTTCGGATTGACTCTTCAAGTGCACCATCGACCTTCGCTTGTTCATTTTGGAACCTTGTTAAATATGAGATCAGAGTTTCATCTTTTTCTTGACGAATATTGCTTAAGTAGCTGAGCAGCATTGCGAATTGTCTCTTCGCTTGGAATTATAGTAGATATAGTGAGGTGAACTGTTGCCAAAATTGTATTGGATTTGCCTTGAGCCTCTTGTACCACCTCTTGGCATCTCTTACTAAAGTGATCATAAAACAGCAGCACTTCGCCAAGACACAGACTTGATGTAGCTCCATTAGGTCGTTAAAAGAGTCAAGGTGGTCTTTGGGATCCTCTTTCTCATCGAACTTGCTCTCTGGTGCCTTAGAGAGAGGGGCTTGACAAACTTCCTCCGTGAATGGAGAACTCACTATCTCTTCCGCCACATTGTTCTAGCGAGCTCTTAGATCATCGAGCATTTTTTCCACACGATCTAAATCCTCCTTATGAGGAGTACTCTGGTTGCGAGCTTTGTTCAGCCTTACCTCGAGTAGATGAGTTTGGAGATCCGTTCTTGTGAGACTCCTTTATCATTCGCATTGATGTGTGAGGTAGAGTCATGATGGCTGGGTTGGTAGGTGCTATCATACTCATCAGTGCGTTGCTCGTGGTGTTGGTTAAAATTGAAATGTTGGTCATTGCCAAATTGGCGTGCGTGACTCATCTCGCGAGCTTTTGACGATTAAGACCACCTTTGGCATGGGTTAAAATCGGCATGGTAGCGTTGGGGATATCGTCGAGCAGGTCAAGCGTCCCTTGGGCAATCGTTGCCTTCATTCTTTCCCATGGGCTGTTTTGCCCGGTCGCATCCCGAGGTTAGTTTGCCTCGGGACTCACACTCATGAGCGGAATGTACCTTGTGGTGTCAGGGCTGTCGATCGCTCCTTGGTGTCGATGAACCAGATTGGTCACCGATTGAGTTCTAACTTGTTGGGGTAACCTCCATGAAGTGTGGCTGGTCGAGGTTCTATGCGCCCTGTTGCTGATTCCTTGATTCAGCCATGTTTTGTTGCAACGCTTGTGCAACCATTATTCTTATTATTTCCACCAGCTGACCATTCTAGGGATTCGACGTCCCTATCCCCTGCTGATTTGTGACCTACTGCCCTAGCGGCATTGGTGGTCGACTTGAAAAAGCAGTCTAATGCACCTCCTAATTAGTGGTTTTTACGTTGTTGTGGTTTTTGGTGTTAGTCTTTGATCTAGTATAGGCCATTTGAATTTTCAGGTGATTGGGTCACTCAAATAGATTTCTGGAAATTTTGAAATTTGGTAGAGACCCTGCTTCCAGTGCAAAAATGTTGATGCAAAAAATTCACCAACTAGGGCGATCCGATTGACCTTGACAGAATCATAATCGATGTGGGCGTGATTACAGA